TGAAGGAAGCAGCACTTGGTCAAACTTAGCTTATGTGTTATGTCATTGAATTCATTGTTTCTTTTTGGCCCAAAAAACTGTAACACAATCTGGCTTTCATAAGAAAATCTAGAGAATTGTTACTAAAAATTTCTTAAAGATTTATGTTTTCAAAGTCCTAGTTTTAAAATGTAATATCCCTGTGCTGTACTTTGGAGCTCCACTCACATATTCTTGCCCAGCCTTTTTTACATCTGTGCTTAGCATAATGTTTTCATAATTTGTGTTTAGGTTTTCTAGTTCTCATCCAATCTCAAAAAGATCCAACTGCATGTAAGATATATGTGAATCTAATATACTTGCAAACACAAATGAGAGAATGTGAGCATCTAACTGGATTGCAGAGTTACAATTATTACATGTAAGACAGTATTTGGAGAGTAAGCAATGCATGTACGTTCAGCTGAGTAATTAAACAATCATACGACTGCATAATTAAAACTACAGAGTGAATGGATTCCCTACAAGATTCTGCATCACATTTAAAGAATGATTTTCTAAGTCCTGAAGGCAATAAAGTCAGTTTCTATTTGAGTATAAAACTTGTAGTACATTCTGAAAGCAAGAAATGCATGCAAATAATCACAGTCAAGAAAAGATCCTCTGATTAAGTAAATGTTATAAGCAAATCTTCTGGAGTCAAAATTCTTTATTTCCTTATGTTTTTATCCAATCATAAATTGATAACTCCTCTCATATCTTTGTTCTATAGAAACAGACAAGAGACAACTGGCCCTGCAGTGTCTCTCTGCTTTATCTTTTCTGCCTCAGGTTGCTTGAGCAGAAACCTTATTTTGTGTGTGTGTTCCCTATTTTTGTCTCTTGAACAGTTCCTTGGCATATATACTTTGGTTAACTCAAAATTGCAACAGCTTGGCTTTTACAATTGCTGAATCCCCTGGAAAAGCAGGTGGCATACTACATGGTTATACATTATTTTACAAAGCCTCAGGAAACTAATGTAGAAATCTGACTTGTGTGGCATATTTAAAGAGGAAAAAGTTATCATTTACTTTCTGTCCTTGCATTCTTCTCAGGTGATGGGCCCCGGGAGGATGTATCAGCTGATTTTATTTGGTTTATAAATTTAAACTCAGTGTGTCATTATAAGACCATGGTGTTATTCAAAATATCCTCATTATAATTCTCTTGGTACTGTCACATGATACTTTCAGCAATTATCTGGTCAGAGCAGTGAAGATGAGAATACATAGGAAGTTGTATTTTTAAAAGACCTTGTGGAAGTCAGGGCTGTGATGTATCAGGCTAAACCTCAGCTTGGAGTGCCAGCATTTCATATGCCTGCAGGTTTGAGTCTTGGCTGCTCTACTTCTAACAACTCCTTGAGAATGTATCTGGGAAAGTAGCAAGAAGATGGCTCAAGTGCTTGGACCCCTGAACCCCTGTAGGAAACAGAGAAGCTGCTAGTTCTTGACTTTAGACTGGCCCAGCTCCAGTTATTGCATCCACTCAGGGACTGAACCAGTTGATATTAGATGCCTCTCACTCTTAGTCTATCCCTCTTTCTCTGTAACATTGCCTTTCAAATAGATAAACATAAGCATTAACAACACTTTTAATAGATGTTGTCTATTTCTTATTATTGGTTAAGCCCATTGTATGGTCAGAAAAGCATCTTCTACCTGAATAAACACTTGGCACAGTGGAGGTTGAAAGTCCAAAGTCAATTACAATGTCATTTTCTCTTTTACACAGCAAGGGTATGTGTGCCAAATCGTTAAAACTGCATCTCTGCTATGGGCAGAAGCATTAAAAAAACTTAGTAAATGATCATCATGGGTGGCCCATTGTTCAGCATTTGATGCATGAGCACCCTTTCTTTCTTTTATGTGAGGATAAAACTTCCCACCATGACCCCAGCAAGAATTTTGCATTGAGGATATTGTATGTGCTATTTTTGAAACTAGTGCAACAATAGTATTATAGTAAAAGATCAAAGCACATTTCTTCATTTTGGAAGATATAATACATTACAGAGTGTCTGTAGGTGCCTTTATTTCACACATAATAGTTGTCCAATATGGGATGCTGCTGAATCAAATTGATTTGCAAAATGATTCCATCGAGATACTGCATTTACATACTGATAAATCATATACATGATTTAATACTAACATTTGGAGATTTAAGACTCTCAATAGTTCAGAATTCATAATATAAAAAAATGATAAGATAGTTTATTGGTATGTTTTCTATAATTAGGCTGCCTGCTCCCTTTCTTATGTGTCCCACATGTTTCATTTAAAAAGAGCAGTATTTCCATAGAGTCTTTGGGTGATGTTCATCTCGTAATTAAAAAAGAATAGTAGAGGTCATTAATTAAATTAACATCTATTTCAGCTTCAGCTATTTCAACAAATATTTAATGAAAATTTATTAAGCATTAAAACAAAAAGGGTTTAAGAACTTGTTGGGAATCAAAAATGAAAATAAAGATGATATATTCTATGGCATAATTCAAAATAAATTATTTCTTCAAAAATATTTATTTGCTTGAAAAACAGAGAGAGGGGAAGGAAGAAAGAAAAAAACTAGCTTCCATCTTCTGTTGCATACCCCAAATGACATCAACAGTCCAGGCTGGACCTGCCCAAAGCCAGTAGCAGGAAGCTCCACTCCAGTCTCCTACATGGATAGCAGGACCTGAAAAAACTTGAGCCATCTTCTGCTGTCTTCCCAGGCACATTAGCAGGAAACTAGACTGGAATTAGGGTAGCCAAAGCTTGAACCAGCACTCTAATAACGGGATGCCAATTCTACAGGTGGCTTCACTTGCCATGCCACAATGCTAGCACCTCAGAATACAATTTTTTTAAGAAAAAGATTTACTAATGTACAAAAAGGAAAGTATCTGAGAATTTTAGTGTTATTTTGTACATTGAAAAATGTTGTATAGCTTTGCAAAAAAAATTGTAGTTAAAAATGGAAACATGTACATGGAATTAGTAATTGAATAAGTACTTAGGAGGAATTCAGACATTTGGAATAAGTTATTTTATTTTACCATTAAAAGATGCATTCACTCATCACTCATGAATTCATGAGGTTACATATATGATTGAACGGATTGGCTATGTTGCATTAAATGTTTACATCTAATATAAAATAATCTAATATTTTCTAACTTTAGAGACAGGACAATGCAGTGGTGGTGAAATTTTTTTATTTTTGAAAAATTTGTTAAATTAAACAAGAATGGAATTTGGGTTGTTTTTTTAATTGAGTGGTTATAGAGTCTTGCTTTTCAATGAAATAAAACAAATATGAATGTCGTATGCACCTGATATAATTGATGCAATGTAAAAGTAGCATGTGTACATTCAAAGCATGACCTTTGGACATTAAACTATTGGTTTTAAAAATATTTTCTCTCAACTCACTAGGAATACTTTGTTTTCTTCTGGATAATTTGCCCTATTGGGCAGTAAGCAATTTGTTTTATTCATGGCAGAAAGTATGTAACTGGATTGGGAGGTTTGTATCCAGTGGCTGAAGGATGAGGATGTTTGAAATTAAAGTTTCTGATGTGGCATAAATATTTGCAATTTAATATTCAGAGTGTCCCCTTAAGGAGGTCTGATGGTGGAAGAATGCAAGAATTGATCTGCATTTCAATATTCAAAAAAACATGTTTCCCCAGCAGGGAAGGAAGCATGTTGGCATTGTTGGACCCTATAGTATTAGAAAGGCATTTTCACCTTGCATATTTATAATACCTGACCTGTCTTCCATGCTCAATGTTATTTGAAGTCTTACACTGACTTTATAATCAACTATCATTTTTAATCACTTTTAATTGTAAATTGGAGGCAACTAGCCATAGATTACTAATGTGACATTTTATTGCCAGTTAAGCTTTAGTCTAAGCATAAGAAAGCAATTTATTGTCTGACATCAATGGAAATAAAAAATAGGATTTGCAATTGTGGAAAACATGCTGTCATTCTGAAACACTTTCGGTGAATGTTGAAATAAGACCTGGTCTTATTGCTTTTCTCTTAATCATTGCTCACCTACAATAAACACAATTTCTTTACAGCCTCCCTGTCTGAGTTCTGTAACACATGGTTTGAAGAAAATGTCTGGATTGATTAACAGCATAATAGTGCAATTTTAATGGATATTAAGCAAAAGAGTGAACATTTGCTAATATTTAAGAAAGGCTTTTTAGTAGTAAGACATTGTGAAATTTTTGAAATGATCACCATCGGTGTATATTGGTAAAGTTAACTAAGATGATAAGAAGAAATTCAGAAATGTAGTTATTAAAATGTATGCTGTGTGCATCTATTTATATTTTCACCCACATTTATAGACATGTACCTATAAAATCTTTAGACGAGGGAATAATGAAAGTAAATTAAACAGTCACACTCATGAATTAAATATTGATTCTATTTTCCCGTAAATTGGACAAAGCTGGTATTTCCCAAAAATGGCTGAAAGAGATAAGATGTAAAAGTCCTGGGGTCAGAGTAGTGGTGTTAATCCCACATCCTGCATCGAAGTGCCTAGATTCAAGTCCTGTGATTTCAATCCATATTGCTGCTAATCCACTCCCAGGTAGGCAGCAAATGATGATTCTAATCTTTAACTTTCTGTCATTTATGTGGGAGATCGAAATGAAGTCCTTTGCTCCTGATTATGTCCAGTCCTGGTTATTGAAGGCATATGTGAGGCCAAACAATGAATGGAAGAACACTTTTTCTTTCTATTTTTTGAATCTACCTCTCAAATAAGTAAAAATAAACTTAAGAAATAAAATTCTCAGACTTCAATACACTGCTGATTTCTCATAAGGAATATGTTTTTGATCAAATAAAATCATAATGCTATATTTAAATTACCATACAGTTTTATGATTTTGCTGATTGAGTATCACCAGATGTGCCTTTATTTCATTTAAAATTTGGCTTTTCCCCTTTTTTCTTTCATCCCAGTATTAAAGAACCCAGTGTGTAAACTGTATAGATTTCCGACATCTGACAATAAGTGGATGCGGATTCGGGAGCAAATGTCGGAGAGCGTACTTTCTTTTCATATTCCTAAGGAATTGATTTCCCTTCACATAAAAGAAGATTTGTGTAGGTAAGAGAAAAGAATTTGTTATTGTCTCATATTTACTGTGTTGTATCTTTTTAAAATCATTAATAAAATGATATATATATATATTCATTATATATGATATGTTTTAAAATATGTATACATTGTGGTGTGATGGATTGAGCTGCCACGTGCAATGCTTGCATCTCACATGGGTATTCATCCAATACCCGGCTCATTTACTTCTAATCCAGTTCCCTGGTAAAGCAGCAGAAAATATCCTAATTCCTTACATTCCTGCCCCTTTTAGAATAGCTACAGGAGGATCCTGAATCCTGGCTTCAGCCTGGCGCAGCATTGGCCTTTGTAATCATTTGGGGAGTGAACCAGTGGATATAAAATCTCTTTCTTTCATCCCCTCTTGGCAACCCTGCCTTTCCATAAATAAAATAAATCATAAAAATGTAAACATTGCAAAATGGTTAAATAAAGGCATTAAAACATGCATTGCTAATATGCTTATTAACTTAGTTTCCTAAAATTTTTTTAGGCATGAGGATAATAAAAAGCTTATCCTGCACTATTCACTTTGGTGACCACTAGACACTTGAAATGTGATTAATCGAATCTGAGAGGATCTATAGGTGTGAAGTGTACACAACAGGTCTACAGTTATTAATGAATACATTTATGTACAGAATTAATAACGACATGTTAACACTTGAAATGTATTAAGAAATTACTGGTGCAATTAATGTCACCTGTTTTCTATTTCTATTCATATATATGACTACTATAAAATTCTAAGTTACTTAGTGATTTTCATTTGTGACTTGAGTTATATTTTTCTTGAGGTTAGTTTGGTTATGAGTAACTTGAATTTTGACCTAGAAGTAGTTCTGTGTCTTCACCTTACTTTTATGGACACTGCTTCTGTCAGTAATTCATATTTGACTCTGCTTTGTAATACTCACTTCTAGTACAGGCTCATATATATTTTGTGATCTAAAACCAGTTTGAAATAATGAGAAAAATATCCTGTTCTCATGGATGATATTGCTAGAATAAGACAGAAGGATTTCACAGCTGATTGGTTAAGAAGATCTCTGAACCAGAACTACTCAAATTATTTGCCTCTCTGGCTTTTAAACAAATCTCTCATGGTTTTTAAAATGCTGAATGTCAGGTGTGCAACTATGCCAACACCACAAAGGCTCTGAATCTGCGGGAATCCATGTGACCTCAAGGACTGAGTATGCCATGGACAGGACAGGTAAAATCTGGAACATATTAACTGAATTGGTTAGAGCAGGAATAACTACACAGATGGTGTATATGCAAGTGAGGAGGACATAAATGTTAATTTTAGGAAAATATGCAGGAAACAGGATCATTATTAAATAATATGTAAATAGGAAAATAAACATTAAAAGGGGGATGTGTATTTGATAATAGAATGAGGAAAATTGGGCCTTAAAAACCAGAGAACCAATATTGAAACAGGCCTAGAGCTACTGTAACATATTCAGGAATGTAAATAGGCTATGTAGCAATCAGATGCAAGAAGGGATCCATAACACAAGTGATTCTCAAGTTAGCTTTTTCTGTTCTATCCTTGCCTATAGCTAGTGCGGTGAATGGCTCATGAACATGAGTCCCCTGGAAGGATAGGTGAGCTTAAGAACTTGTATTGGATTAGAAGAATGAAGGTTTTGATTTCTGAAAGTCATAGGAGAGTTGTTATCCTCATTACAGCCTCATTCTGGGTCATTGGACCCTAAGAAGTAGTCCTACCAGAACCATGTAAAGTTTAATGTTTCAACCTGAAGAGCAGAGGAAATGGCCTATTTTCCCCACGGGTTATGGAATAAGGAAGGACTGTCAGCTGAGAGGCACGGATTGGAGAAACCAGGCAAGACTTTATAACTTACCAGACAGTGAAACACAGAAGAGAAGTTAACAAATGAAATAGACTTAAGTTAGGACAACCCTGTACCCTAAAGTGACACCTTAATAGCTGCATCTCACAACATTAGCCAGTCCTTAATTTTCATAGCAATATCTATAAAGACATGGAAAATGATGGCACTTATGCAAATCAATGACACGTATTTATACATTGTTACATTATTTAACATAATAAATATTTTTAGGCCAGTATTTTCACATTGAAAATGCAAAACAAAACCAGTATCATGGAGAAAGTAAGAAGAAAGACCTGTATCTCTAATTTGTCTTTTGTCATTAATTTGAAAACATCTTAAGGCTGAGCAACTGTCCTTCTGGGGCAGTCATCTGAAGTGCTGCTTCAGCCCTGGATCTACCCGCACGCCACTGATAGCTCTGGATGTCTATACGCTGACAGAAAATCCTAGAAAGAAATTGTGAGTGTGAAATAAGGCAAAAGAGATGGATGGTTAGGCCAGCGAATGTTTGTAAGCAGAATCACTGTAACTATTTTTACAATTTTTAACACACCAAAATGGTTATCGCCTAATGGCCTGATCATGTTGTCTTATCATCTCTCTCTCTCTTTTTAATGCTAAGAACATTTAACTGAAAGAAAAACATGATTCCTCTAACAGTTCAAACTGTTGTCAGTACAATGTATCCAATATCGAGTGCTTCGCTTTGAGTCCCAGTCCTGATTTAAGCTACATACAAATACAGAACTGGGCAAGTGGCGACTGCAACTCAACTAATTGTGTGTCTGTTACCCATGTCAGAAACCTTAATTAAGTGTCCAGTTTTCAGTTTATCTTGATACTACATGGATTGGAAGCATCTGAGGAGTGAGCCAGCACACGTGAACTGGTTCTCTTGCTCTCCCATCCTTCCTTTCCTACTCTGTCTTCACGTCTCTTTTCTCTCACCCTTTGTACCTTCATCTGCTTATCAAATTAAAACCAGGGTCGATGGACAGTTTTGTTGGATAAATAGGAACAATGACCCAAAAGATGATGCTGCACCATCATAGAACAAACTGAGCACCAGGATTGTTTTAAAAAAAGTTAAAATTCTTTCTTGTGAAACCAAACTATATAAAAATTTGATTGTGAAAATTGGCTAAGGATTATCATGATCAGACTGTTCTATATAACTATCTCTTCAGTGCCTTTTCTGCAAGTTCCCTCATCATTTGAAGGTGTTAAAAGTTTCAACACTGATCCTTTAGATTTTTATTTAGAAGAAAAAAATTGTACAAAAATTCAGAACAGGCAGAAGAAAATAACTGTAGGAAATATAGAAAATACCAGTAGAATATAAGTTTGATTAAACCCAAATTAAAAATTCTTAAGGAAAAAAATCTAAGGGGGAAAGGCCAATCAGGAAAAAATAATGGAGAAAATAGTGAAATTTAAAAATGCAGTTGCCAAATGAAATGCACAGAGATAGCATGAAGAATTGAACACAAAGAACTTGTACCAGCAACGTAGAAGACAGGATGGTATGCCATTTTCAAATCCTAACACAGGTGGAAAAAGATTTAAAACAATGGGTCCGAAGATGCTCGATGTGCATGCCAGAGAGCTGGAAGCTACAAAATAACGTTTAGTGTGTAGAGAGAAACGCAATTACTGAAGAACTTGAAAGAAAACAGTGAATAGGTAGTTGAGACTGCAGTTTTGTTTTTCCCTTTCCAAGCTAAATCAGGCTAATTTTCTTCCTGTGTAACTAAATGCTAGAAACAACAGCACAGCTATCACTTGCTGAGAGGAAAAGACTGTGAACCCAAATTATTAAATAGGGTCATGCTATGAAATTTTATGACTGGAACAGTGGCAATATATGCTTAAATATGCAGAAGTGAAGAAAATATCACCCGTGAAACTTTTTTGAATCATAGATTAAAGATCTATTGATGCCATTCATTACAGGAGATAATTTAAGTAAAGAGTTATATTTTCAATAAAATACAAATCAATACAAAATCATAACATATAGTAATGTAGCTTAAGGTAATTAAACCATCGAATTAAGTATTTAAGAGTGATGAGTGTGTTTCTGTAAGATAAACTGATACATTTTTCTTGGATGGAATCTCCAGATTAGGTAAAGTTTCACTTTGAAGTCCTTTTCTCAGTTGTGCTACTTTTGTTCAAATATGTAATGGGTTTTACCTGCCCCATGTTCCCTTTATGATATGAAGCAAAGGTACTGTATTCTCTTGTTTGATGAAAATTACATGTTTTATAGTGCTGTTATCTTTTAGTGCTTACAAGTGGTTCAGTGCTTCAATTTATTTGCTCAAAAATTTGCTCTGAAAGAATTATTAAGAATCCTGTGTGTTTTCTTCAGGAAAAACAATTACCTCGGCAACTTTATATCATGGCCATTTGCACTGTTAAACTGTCTGTGATCTGAACTTTTAATACATATATTAGTGAGATGTGTCATTTTTTGGTAGTGAGTAATAAACAGATATAAAGTGTGTATCTGTTCATATTCAGTTCTGGATAAGAAAATAGGACTATAAATGCAAGTGTGTGTGTGTGTTTAGAAGAAGAGAATCAATACCAACCTATGATTTCTGATTCAGCTATATTATGTACCAGAAAAAAACAATTATTTAAAGACACAGAAAATAGTTTTGTCTTGCCAGGCGTATGTTACTACTTAGATCTGCCATTGTTGCATAAAAGCAGTCGCAGATGATAGTTAAGTAAATATTTATAGCAGTATTTTAGTAAAATCTTATTATAAAAGCAGACCTTCCTTTTTACTTATCACAATAAGGAATTTGCTCTCCTGTAAGTCTTCCATATCTGTGAAGTTTGGATTTTGAAAAACTTCTACTTTCTTTCATGGTAATTGGATTCATTGAATCTTCTTTTTCATCCCATCCTTGAATTTTGATTATGAATTGATGGGAATCCACTGTCAATATAAAATAGGTATGTTTCCATCCCTATAAATTAAATGCGACAGAATTATGCCTGTTTTGTCAAGGGAGTTGAAAATTGAAAATTGAAACGTGTACTAGGATTGGTGAAAGGTTTATAAACTTGCAGATACAGGCTTTTAAAGTTTGACAATGAGTTTAA